ATCCTCTACAATAAATCAAAAAATCAGCCGGGCGTGGTAGCGCATGCCTGTAATTACGGCTACTCGGAAGGCTGAGGCAGAAGGATCGCCGGAGCCCAGCAGGTCAAGACTGCGGTGGCCGGGAGCTGCCACTGCACTCCAGTCTGGGCGACAGAGTGAGACTCTAACTCAAAAAAAAAAAAAAACTTTCCCCATTTCACCAGAGATGTGACCATCCAAACACAAGAAATACAGAGAATCCTCCACAAGACATCAAATGAGAAGATCGACCACTAGACACACAGTAATTCACCTACACAAAATAGGCACAAAAGAAACATTCCTAAAGACAGCAAGAGAGATAGGTCGGACTACCTACTGGGGAAAACCAATCAGAATAGCAACAGACCTATCGGCAGAAACACTGCAACTAAAGGGACTGGAGCCTAATATTCAAAGTCCTCAAAGATAAACAATTTCAACTGGGAATTTTCTATCTAGCCAAGCTCAGCTTCATCATTGATGGAGAATTAAAATCCTTCCCAGACATCCAATCCCTAAGGGATTATGTAGCTTCCAGACCAGCTCTATAGGAGATGCTTAAAAAGGGATTAACCACAGAAGAAAGAAAAGAAAAAGAAAAAAAAAATGACCATGCTTTTCCTAAGAGGACAGCAGAATACAGAATCAACAGAGAATACATTGAAACTGCAAACACACATACATACATTGATCCAAAAGTTAAAAGAAAACAAAAAAAGGAAAACTTTGTAAGAACCTCATGACAGGGATTTCAATCACATTTCAATAATCAGCCTGAATGTGAATGGACTGAATGCACAACTGAAAAGACACAGAATGGCAAACTGGGTTAAAAAAAACCATGACCCAATAATTTGCTGCATCCAGGAAAGTCATCTTACCACAAGGGACACACACAGACTCAAAGTTAGAGGATAGAGAAAGAGTTTCCAGGCAAATGGATTACAAAAGAAGGTAGGAGTCACAATCTTAATATCAGACAAAGCAAACTTTAAGCTATCAAAAATTTAAAAAGATATGGAAGGACACTACATACTGATAAAAGGGTCAATCCATCAACAAGAAATATCCATCCTAAACATATATGCACCCAACATAGGAGCACCAGTGTTTATAAAGCAACTACTAAGTAAACTAAAAATATATATATTGACTCTAACACTATTATAGCTGGGGACTTAAATATGCCACCAACAACTCTAGATAGATCATCGAGGCAAAAAATCAACAAAGAGATCTGGAACTTCAACTTGATGCTTGACCAAATGGACTTAATAGATACCTACAGAATACTCAACAACCACAGAATATACATTCTACTCATCACCACATGGAACGTACTCCAAGATCGATCACATCCTCAGCCAGAAATCAAGCATAAACACATTTCGTAAGATCGAATACTGCCATGCATCTTCTCAGACCACAATGGAATAAAAATAAATATCAACACCAACAAAATTCCCCCAGAACCCACAAAGACATGAACACTAAACAGCATGATGCTGAACGACTGCTGGGTCGACACAGAAATCAAAACAGAAATTAAAAGATTCCTAGAAACAAATGAAAATGAAGAAACATCCTACCAAAAACTCTGGCATAGTATGAAAACAGTTCTAAGAGGGGGATTTATATCTCTATAACACACTTAAGGAAAATGGAAAGATCACAACTTAACAGCCTAACAAATCACCTAA